TTGCCGTTCCGTATTGGTGGATTCCATACGAGCGGCAAAGTTGGGCGGGTAAAATCAACCCAAGTCTGATTAAATTCATGGCACGAGATGGGGCGTTTGTAGCTCAATTTTTTATAGCGTTGGTTTCGCGTAAAGGCCTTCTCTATTACGCGGGTTCAAATCCTGCCGAACGCCTCGAGTTTTTTCACAATTGGGTCAACTAAAATTACAGTTCTGTCTCCCAGATAATTACAAGTAACTTATTAATATGATGCAGGCATCAGTCTTTTTAGGGCAGCCCTAGGGGGGGTGGATATTCCAGCATAAAAGCGGCCTGCACTCACCTTTGCGACGACTAACATCACATGGGTTTTTGGTTATCTGTTTGAGGATTTGACAGTAAATTTCATCACGCAGTAGCGGGTGCTCAATGCCAGCCTTCACGATAAAGCGTGCGATCTGCAGGTCAGCCAGTAGGTTACCCTCCGAGGAAGCCGCGCCTGAAGAGGACAGCTTTCTGCCACTTTCGGATGTGTTCTGCGCCTGAGGGAAATTATAACTGGGCGTTGAAGCACAGGGGTAGCCGTCAATAGAAGAGGTCGTACGTTTGCGTTTCGTAAGAGTTGGGATCGAAGACGTGGGCTTCTGTTGTTCCGCTAAAGTATATTCATCTCCAGTCGGCAACTACGTGAAGTAAAAACCGTTTTACCCATCACTTAAGTATTAAAGACGACTGAGATGATGATGATTATTATTACCCTAACTACGCAAGCAGCTGCACCTACCGGCGTTCTGTGCTTTTTCCTCGTTGATGAGTCGGGTGCTGAATTGAAGGCCTGCTGTCCGAAGACGCGTTCCTTATCTCTAGTCTTTGGCTTCATAAATGCTTGTATTCGCGAAAATATGTCCAGGGCTAGCTGAAACGAGGAATGGGCTTTTAGTGAAATCCCTGAAGGGAACAAATATCTGTTATTAGCAATGTTGTCAATGACCACTGTTATCTGAATGCAAGAAGGCACCTAGTTGTTTTGACCTGGCCCCGAAACAGTTTGCTTATATTGCGACGTAGCCAATGTGCTCCATGAGAACAAAAAGTTACCTTTTAAGGTTTTTGGGGTAGTTAAAAAAGGCAACCGGAGATGTCTATTCCTATATTTCAGACCTTAAACAACAACATATCTTTAAAAATTGACGTTTATTTATCTATTGCTAGTTTATAGACCGTGTCAGAGCATGACAAGGTGCGAGTAAAGGCGAAGGTTGATCGGGCACCGGAACAGTCCATTTATTGTCATGAGCATTCAAACGAGAGTTCATCGTCAAATGTAACAGTGGCAAAAAAGGAGGCAATTATAGGGGGTATAAATCAATCAACTATCAGTGACGCACGTCTGGAGGTGACTACATGGAGCTCTGTATGCCGGCGCCAAATCGATGCATCGATTGATTGAGTTCCCACCCGTGGACTAAGCTTCAGTCAATTCTCGGTTCGTTATGTTCCCGGCGTGGGTAAGTATTTTGACGGCTGCGACATTGAAATTATGGCCCGGTTCATAGGTCTGAGTAGACACATGGGATAATCCATGGTCCCGTCTTACGTCCAGCTTATGTTCCTGTGTGCGCGATCCGAGCATGCATTCAGTCTGACCTGTGTAATTACAAGGACAGCTTAGGCAGGGGATACGATACACTACCCCAAATTATTCATTGAATGTTATTTCCAGCTGAACAAGTTTGAAATTTTCTGTGTCTCTTCTCTAGTGAAACTCCTGTCCGACCTGCATATGATTGTTTCGCTCTTACAAAGGCTGTCCCCCTTTCCCTGAATAGCGTGCCCGTGTCCCCATTTTCCCTCGAATGTCAGCCGTCCTCCCGTGTTTACCCTTTTGATTCGATTTCAAATGACCGAATATTGCCCCCAGCCCCCGGATTCGGCTCCCTTGCATGTTATCACCCTTTTTCACGATGCTATCGGCTCCTCGCTGATACAAGAGCTAGTCGTTTCGATTCCCGGAGATGAAATCCCGTGACGTGACTTTATCATGGAGAGCCAGCTATCCATTCCCCCTCCCCCTGGTTGACCTAGTTGCCGCGGTTACTCCGAGAACCACTCGTCCAGCCAACACCCGCCGGTGTTACTTTCATATTGCCTCTGTTCACGAATACCCCCTTTTAGCGCTGGTATTTCAGACCAATCCTGATGCCACATGAATTGCCTCCTGAAATCATATAAAAGCAGAGCCACGCCCCCTCTACCACTAACACACACATTCTTTCCCAAGACTGTTTTCGCCCTGTGTGGCGTTGTTGTTGTTGAACTTGTGTTGTTCCCTTGTATAGAATCAAGCGATTTGGCCGACTCCGTTCGCTGTTGACTTTGCATATCTATTGTTGACGTTTGTACATTGTTTATCCTTTACTATTTTTGTTTACTAGTCCCGTACAGCCTTTGCAGTTGTTATCACTGGGTTTGACGTACGCATGACCGCGGAATAGTCAGAGAAGTCAAGAAGACGAAACATTGGAATTAAGCTGGTCTTTGCGCAATCACGTCCAGACGTGCGTCACTGACAGCTGATTGGTGTATGCCCTCTATAATTGTCCCTTTTCGTCGCTGCTGTTACCTCTGACTACGAACTGCTGAACAAATCTGAAAGCTCAGGACAATAAACCTACTGCAAAGAAGAAGAAGACGCGATCTCTGGAACGATAATTTTATTCCTCTGAGCTTTCGACTCCACATGAGAAAACTCGTCAGAGAAAGTGAGAAACAGCAAGCGTTGGCTACGCGTAAATGGGGGTGGGAGGGGGTTGACATTTGTGATTGGTTAATGCTCACGTCACGTCCATTCTCACGCCATCTTATCGTGTTTCCCCTACGCGCGTCCCTGAAGTTGTGGCGTGTGACCTTGACATGGCAGCCTGCATATTTGTACGGGAACAGGGCCGTGGTTT